CATGGTCATGCACATTTATTATTCTGTCATTCATATCAAATTCAATACTATAGTATCTATCTGTACAGCCACAGAAACTTGTTTACAGTACAATATTTAGAATGTGATTTGTGACTGCATTATGTCAGTAAATATTGTCAAAATGAATGACTGATTTCTAGGCAAGACTCTTTTATACCTTGTTTAGCCAACCCGCCGCCTGCCAATGATGATTTTGAATAAAAATTAAATTTTTATTTTTTGGCCAATTACACCTATCGCCATGATAAAAATTTAAATAAAAGTTTTCTTTTTACACTCGCCACTGCCTTTAAATCTCCAAAAGTAAATGTATATTTCTTCCTAATTACAGTACAGTATATAAATTCAAAGCATTTAACCTGTCTCTTATACACATCTAGATGTGTATAAGAGACAGATATGAAGAAGATGCAAAACTAAAACGTTTCATTACCGACAAGATTGGAATTTTGGTCTTTGTGTGTGCTTCCCCGGATCATTGTTATGCAATTGAATTGTTCAGAGTTCAAGTATAGGCATAAATGAAATGGATGTTGAATGTATAATATAAAAGATACCTATACGAGCCCTAAAATCCTTAATGACCTTTATTCTTATGTTTTTCTAATAGCCATACCCAATCCACTCAAGAGTTTCACCTATCAGCTTCTAGATGATACAACGGTTCAGTTTATGTTTGAGGATCCTGAAGATTGGAATTTTGATTCATTCTCCTTATTGGATAAACGAATTTGTCAAAGATCACCACCTGTTGAAGACGGTGCAAAATGCAAAACTAAAACGTTTCAGTACCCACCAAATTCATGGACAATATCTGGACTCAGTTATGATACACAATACATATATACGGCTCAATGTTACCATATTGAAGGCAGATGGAGTGAAGAAAAAAGTATCACATTCAACACTGGAAGGGACATTCCGGTTTATGGTAAAAGCAAACCACACAAAAAATAAATGGAAAAAAAAATTAAATCACAGAGGCTTTTAGCATTTAGCACAAACAAAGACACAATAGTAATACTGTATATCATTAGTCTTTATTCTGTAAGAAACATAGGCCTAAAATTACAAATTATATGTAAATACATTACCACTGTTTACTCTCATCCGACCACTCATCGCTTATCCTCACATCTCCACTTATGCACCCACCCAAGGAGGTATTAAATAATATCCATCGATTCATTTATTCATCCATAACCCACTTACCGATTACACCACACTATCTCTATCCGCCCACTTTTATTTTCTTAGCATTCTCCTACTTATTAAAGTAAAATTTTGAACATGACTGAGCTCAATTGACAAGGAATCACCTGAATGTGTTCATGTTCAATTGAACATAATTCTTCTTACCCAGTCAGTCAGCTGCAGGCAGACGTCTGGTCTGTTTTCTTAGCGTTCTTCTGATTGTTCTTCTAGCAAAACTCTACAGTACCAAACGGTTAGGCCAATTTCAGTCAAACTTGGTTAGTATAACCAGTGAAAACTTCCCATGCATGGGGTGGTCATCGCTTGGGGTTAAAGGTCACACAAGGGTCATTGGGTGAAGAAACCCAAAATCTTGTAAAAGACTACACTTTTGTCACAAATACTGTAACATAACACATTCTTGTCATATGTAGGCCTACGGGGCGCCGTTTTGGACATTGCTATGTACTGTATGTCTTTGAATGGGCATTCTGTCGTTACAGAAATAATTATGTACCACAGAATCATTACTGACAAATATTATGTGTACATAATGATTTCTCTTGTTACAAAAATAATTATGTACCACAAAATTATTACTGTCAAACTATTATGTGTACACAATTAATTCTGTTGTTACAGAAATAAGTATGTACCACCACAGATATGTGTAATGTACCATAGAAAATAAAGCTTATAAACATTGTTTTTGAGTATGCACTTAAATACTTTAAAGCCGTGATTTCACAACCACCTCAGCCTTACTATAGTTAAGGCTGAGGTGTGTAAATTTGAGGAAATAGTATGTCTAGATGTCCGGAAATGACAGTTTTATATAGCAAAATTTATTATCATCACATCACCATTATATAGTCAAAATGAAAACAAAATTTCTCATAATCTTTTATCAGGGATCTACTTAATATCCAATACAACTTAGGCCTAACCATAGCTTACTAAGATTTAACTATACTGTAATAATTGTGATCAACAAATCACAATTTAGGCCTACTTTCTCGCCTTTAGCACAATTTTCTTCACTTTTTAATATTATTAATATTATTATTTATTGTCACCATCGGCATCTTTTTTATCATCATCATAATTATTATTATTATTATTATTATTATTATTATTATTATTATTATTATTATTAGTAGTAGTAGTAGTAGTAGTAGTAGTAATAGTAGTAGTAGTAGTGGTAGTAGTAGTAGTAGTATATAGAGCTTGCAAAAAAATAAAAACTAAACTGAACCATACAATATCACATTTCTGTATCTGAAAGATATGGCCTGGGACTTGTGGATTTAAGATTATTTTTTAATCACACTTAGTCATATGTGTTAAAATAGTAGGCATGTATAACGTGTGCTGATGCATATTTACATAAATTAGAAGTATTTATTTTGAGTGATCCTTGGAAATAAATTGTATCTAGCAAGAACACGCTTTAAAATTTTAACAATGTGTACAAAAGGGTTGGGGG